TCCGAGGTATGTATGTTTAGCAAGGATTTCAATATTTAATTCCCAAGAAGGCAACTGGTTTCATTCCTGTAGGAATGTTTAAAGGGGTACAAAGAAATTATGCCTTCATATGTTTAGAAAATTAGATTGCTGGACAGACAAAAATTATTAATTTTCTCGAACTACAAGAAACATTTATGCTCTTTCCGGGAAAAGAAAATAAGCCTACAAAGTTTCTTCATGAGCATCGTGTCATATAAAGGATTAATTTAATAATGTACAAAGTTGGTGAGCTTTTGAAATTAAAATTATTCTTTCTGCTTTACAGGAACATTAAAAAATGTACTGATTGACATTATTAGATATGAATAATTGCATTTCAATTGCAGCCTGGTTTTGCTTTCAACTAAACTTCACCTTCGAAATAAAAAAAGGAAAACCACTGTTTTTTTTAAATAAATATACTCAGTAGTACATGTATTACCTAAAATAATAATTTATCTGGATAGGTGTTTACGAATAAAGTACAAACGTTCTCCCATATTCTGGAGAGATACTTTTTTTTCCTTTCATCATGAACATGGCAACTGTTGTACCGTAGCACGTCATCCAGAGGCACTATGAATTATCTGGAAAAGTCTCTAAAAGGGGAAAGAAATTTTCTTATTTGTAAATAGCTTGTGTTCACAAACTACAGTTTTTTAAGTTACGTTCTAGGCAAAGCTTCGTCATTTTGTATGGTTTTCTTCTGTTTTCATGGGTTATAAAATGACGCTGAAGAATTTTTGTCAGAGAAATAAGTTCATGTTAGAAATACTCAAATTGTACATAATTTTGGTTTAAATAAACCTTCTGCATAACATAAACATTACCTTCACAGAAAAATAATCTGGAAACAGTATTTTATTCCTACTCTTAATTTGTAGCACACAGAAGAGAATATTAAAAATATAATATAGCGGAACTATAATTTGTAGAAGTTTGATTCAAGGCGTAAGAAGTTTGATTCTAAAGCTTAATAATATTAAGCATAATATCCACACAAAGCCCTCTCGCTTCTCCTAGAGGAAAAAAAAAGCGAAGAACAAATTCATAGTTCTAGTTTATCTTTAATTTTATATAGACCAAAACTATCTCGATTATTTAAAAAAAAACAAGTAAGAAGTAAGTATCTCTAGGAAAATAATTAATTTCACAAATGTCAGTAAAGTTCGTCCAAACTGTATTTTAATTCGCCGTTTCTCAACATAGGCTGAGTAACATTTGATTTTAATAAACTGATAGATTATATACCAAAATTTAGATAAAAATCTAAAATACAGACTTTGTTTTGCACTGATACTGCAATTTGAGAAAATATCATTATATAAGTTATAATATATATTTATATATATATATAGGTTAGAAAGAAGTTTCGGAAAATGTTTGTTTGAAATCGAACATTAGCCTACAATAATACAAAAAGAAAAGATTATTAAAACAGTTGCAAAATGTAAGAAATTCACGGTACCAGATGCTCATAATTTATATAACACAGCTAAGCTAATTGTGTTTCTGCACTGCTGCCGCAATAATTTTGAATGAGGAGAATATTAAGATTTGATAATGGTTTACCTTAATAACTTAAAATTAGATAAAATATAAATGTTGACTTGCCCATGTATTGCACAAAAAAAGAACGTTTAATATCTTCTGAAACACCCAGTTATTCATAGTATTAATGCAATAATATAAATTTAGATACATATTTGATCACAAAAGACCTAGATAACACCAATCATTTAATGACATTCGCGAATGTGTCGTAGAAGAACTGGACATCGAAGGAAGTGAAATCTTGAACCAACGAAAAAGTCACTAACGAAATTTCGACGTCACGCTTGCAGGATAGTACATAACTTGGTAGAAATGATAAATACCCTGTTAAGTTTTAACAAAATGCGCTGTCTGGTCGATCTCGTTCACAGGTTATGAATATAAGCTATTATATAAGAAGAAGCACGAGACTCTCTGAAGAAAATTTTATCACCGAATCGGCGGGGGAAGAAAAGTCTTGCAGCCTTAATTCATGCGTGCGATGTAACACTAAAGAGGGAAGAGAGAGAGGGAACTCGAAAACCAGTCAATAAGCTGGTCTGTTATAGTCTTTTTAGGTCTGTTTATAGTCTTTTTAGCTAATTTCCGTTGCCACATTCAGAATGGATTTCGGAGTGAAAATATGAAAGCTTGCCTTCACATTCCCTTAGCCCAACGAAGAAAAGGAACAGCCATATGACAGGATCGAAAACATGAATTACTGATCTACACCGCAAATATCTTTGTATAACCAGTCCTAGGTTGTCTATGAAAACTTGACATTATACCTTTTATAATCTTATACTAAGTTCACAACTGTCACATTTATAATCTCTCACTATGGTCTAATTTTTAACAATGAGAAAACACACTACACTCTTGATTTAACACTCCTCAAATTACCTTCGTGGAACTATTTGTAGAATATTTCTTTTATAGCATCTATCGTAGATTAGCTTTCACGTTGTTTCGGACTCTTCTACTTGAACTGTTCTGAACTTGTTAGAGATACTTAGAACTACCTTAATGAAACAAAAAGTACTGACAAGAAGATAAGAAACTTATTGAAAAAGGTAGAGTAGCATGAGGAGAATGTGCTTTTTGGTCAAAGAAATCCAAATGTCTTTGCACTAAACTGATGTCATGGTATATAATCTGTAGCTGTTTAACTCCTTTTGCAGTAAAACTACTGAATTATCCTAGATCATGTCATTTCATGTTATTATTCTAGAATGTACACTTATGTTTCAAACAACCAAATTTAATTATTGCAAGTTGATATGAGTTTTACATTACATGTGACATGAGTTTTTAGTTAGCATTTTAAAAGTAGTAACATTAAAAAGGAATGTATTTTAAATTGGAACATTTTCGTGGTCACACAAAATATGGACTAAAAACTGTGCTTTGTTCATCCGTTATTGAAGAGGTAAAAGAAATGCAAACTAACAGCCTGATGTAATGCTATATATATGAACTTTATTTACATCCACAAAAATAATTTAAACTTTTTTGAAAATTAAAATAAAGCCACAAGTTTCTCGTTTATTGTATTGACAGCAGAAATGTTTACAGCAGTGCCTTCAGCGTACGGTGTAATGTACGCATTGGTTTTCCTTATTCTTAATGGTGGCTCAAATTTATGCTGATACTTCTTTAGAAAGAGTACCATTAGGTGTTTTAATGGCCCAGAAATGTAATTGCTTTCCACAGAACTTCATTAAGAGAGGACCGTTTTGATTGCGTCATTTCCCAAAGAACGAAGCTACAAAGTAATGTCTTCATTGCTAACAGGCAATTTAGAAGTGCATAAGATATCCAATTACTCATTCGAGAGAGGGAGAAAGTACTTTTCGCTAAAACGATTGCACCGACGGCACATTTTTATTTATGACATTTTCTTTTATTTTTAGAATTCCTATTTACCTTTTTGATACGTCCCATGCAATATTTCTTGTTCGTGTTTTAGATAGGTGTAATGTGGCGGATTTTTATCCCACTTTTTTATAATATCGTTTATACATATTTTACCTCTAGTAATGTCGAGTGCAGTGCACTTACGGTAATTGCTTATTCGCTCCAATATCTTTCGATGGTATAACTAGAAAATGGTGTTTTCAGTTAACAAAAAAAAAATATATATATAAATGTCATTCTTTATTATAGGCTAGGGAGTTTATTGAAAGCATTGAAGTGATTATTATGCATTGCTTGTTCTGCTTTTTCATAGAGAAAAGTTTGTCTGAAATATGAATGTAAAGAAAAATTGTAACATAGAAAAAGAGAAAGAAAAAAGAAACTGAAGCACTTGTTAGAAATTCTGACAATTAAATCTAACGAAGCGTGGACGGTATAAAATTAATGCAAATACATAGTTTGTAGTTAAATATGTAAAAGCTTTATCTAATGACAAGAAACTATTCTTCTTTAATATCATAAAATATACATAGGTTGATTGTTAATATATTAATTATATTGCAAGGCTTTCTGGAATTGACTGGTTAGATAAGTCTCTTTTTTAAAATGGCTTAAAATATTGCTCAAAGCTAATTAAGACTAAACACATTTAAGTGCAATGAATTTTATTTGCCATTTAAGTGAAAGAGAAGAAAAGATGTAGGTGCGTGCGTCCTATAAAGAATTTTATTTTGGTTACCATTTCTAAGTATATAGGGCAGCAATTACAGAATTATGCTTAACTATTTAAAGCAGCATGCAACAATATGCAAATGTTATTGCATGCTACATAGGAACAAAATTTAATGATACTTACCAGTTTTGTTAAAGATAAATTTTAGGAATTCTATAAAATTAAAAAAAAAATTATGTTAACAGAACATTTTGAAATTAAAGTGTAAAATTCAAAATATAAGTTATGGAGCGTAGTATGTTTAAATGATAACAGATGTAAATATATAATTTAATACGCTGTTAGTTTATTTAAGAGAGGATGAAGAACAAAATTAAGAAGTAAGTATTTTTAAAAGTTGTTTTTGAAAAGGAGTTTTTTAAGAAATATTTTAGTAAATTCTAGCTGGCGTTTATTTTATAAGAAAGAAGAAAAGTAAACTTAGCTGTAGCCAAAACTGTTACACTTCTCACTATTAGATGATTTGAGTTACATTATAATAAAACACACTGAGATTAGCGCGAAGATTAAAAAAGAATCTTAATATTCCATACGCTCATATACGGTTCATATGTTTTCCATTCATTAGAGTTCCCAGTTGTAAGTTTAGAAGTAACGCTATGTAAAAATACCATTCTGATAAAAATTATCAAATTGACTTCAAAAATACAAAGAAACCGAAAAGAATGTTTTAAATTTTACATTAAAAATATGTACTACAGTAAAAACACAAATTTTAATTTAAATGCATAATTTTTTTTGGCAGATTCCTTTAAGCTTTCTCTTACTTGTCTAAGTTTTCATTATTTTGTTTCAGTTCCTCCCCAAGCGCTATCGATCAACGATCTTCCTGCTGGTAACAACATCGAGGTCAGACAAGGTGATAAAGTTGTCCTCTATTGCAAAGCGGTAGGAAGCAAGCCTCCAACTCAACTCATCTGGTACAAAAATGACAATGAACTTTTTGATGGTTTGTACCCAATCTTTACTTTAACATTTTCTTGCTATATGATTCGTTATAAATTTGAAAAAATTAGAACAAATTTTTTTTCGTTTTGTACGTTATTTGGTGAACAATGTGATATTATATTATGTGAACATACATCTGCATAAACTGAGAATTTTCTCTGTATAAAACCTTTCATGGGATTGTTTTATAGCATAAAAAGAGGGTATGCATCCAGCAGTCTTTGCCTAAAAGGAAATAGGAACAAAAGGAAATAGTTATATCTAGTATACTATTTACTGAAAGTAAATTTAAATAACTGAGATGCATTTTAAGGTATAATTGTTTAATTAGGAAGAAATTAAATTGATTATGCTCTAAATCAACAATAATTAAAAATAAATAATAAATTATTTAGTACCGTCCAAGGAGAAATTAGGAAAAACACTCAAAAAATAACTCAAGTAAAGAGGCTATTTAATAATAAAAATTATCGAATAAGATTTAATCGAACCATACTTAATAACCTCTCTCGGGTGGCTTCCAGAAACCAACGGAACTGGAACAAGAAGTCATCTGTGTTTTTACTAGCCTGTCGTAGTGGTTTCCAAGAGACTACTGGCTATTTTCCATCCCAGACTCCTTGTAATTTCTTGTTTAATCGCCCTCTGGATGCGCCTTCATCGCCAAGTACAACTAAGATTGGAGTACAACCAAGATCTCCATTCCAGGTTTGAAGTGATGCACAATTTTGCACGAAAGCGAGTCAACTAGGTGTCGAAGAAGATGAAGACCGGTAGGACACGGGAGCTATAGGACATCGATTAAACGAAGATGACAAGGTGTGTTTGGTAAATCCGATTCGACCGAAAGGACACTCTTTTAAACTACAGTCACATTGGGATGGACCTTACATAGTCCTAAACAGATGAACGATTTCGTAGTTCGGATCCGTAAGTCATCGAATTTTGAGCCGTGAGTCATTCCTTACGACAGGCTAGTTTCTTACTATGACCATAGTACGTAGTTAAAATAATGTAAATACTATAAGACCATGGTACTGTTTGTTTCTAAATTTGTAAATTTTTCATTCATTTATTGATTAAGTATTTGATTTGTGTTATGTTATTTAGTGAGATTATTCTTTAAGTGTTGCATTAACCTGTCTTAGTTGTGAGTCTGGCTTCCTGTCCAGGGTCTGTACTGCTCGGGACGTGCAGTCCTTGGGAGGAGGGACAATGTTACGAATTTTCCACATATGTGGATGATTTTAGTGCAATTATATGTGAAATTGTATTTTTTACTGTATAATGTAACATGTAAATTTAGAGAAGCGAAGCTTGCCGGAAAAGTATGGTGACAGGGGCAAGTCTATTTAACATTGAACAGATGGCTATTTCAGTAAATTGACGAGATAACCCCATGCTGGTAACGGTTTTGGCGTCTAATTTTTGTCGCCGAATTTGGTGATAAATCTCCAAAAGTCGCAAACATTGGCGACCATTTGGCGACATTCTGGTCCGGCTCCTGTATAACTGTAATGGATATTATATTTGAATAACTGTAATTGATACTCTATGTAGCTGTAACCGCAATTCGGCCGTCGAATGCTTTCCAGCAATTTCGAGAAGCAGAAAGTGGTAGAAATTTTTCAGCAACCGTGTGAAATCTATACAAGGCTGGGAAGAGCATCTCCTTTCAGTTGTTATTGCGAGATGTTGGTTGAGCGGGAAGTACTGAGATATGACTGAGCGAAGTTCACTCTTTAGATATGCTTTGCATTGCCTTGAGTTTAACGTTCTTAGTAGGTTTAAGTGTAAATACTGATAGTACACTTTGACACTGTGAAGAGCTGTACGACTATTTTTGTGGAAAGTTCAGGAACTCTAAAGTGTTTGTTTCGATAAAATACATTTTGTCAAACAATCATTGGAGCTTTGAGCATTCAGTCTATTACGAACCCGTACGCACGCAACAATATTTTATTTTGCAATTGATTAACAAATGCAATTGTCATAAGCAATTACTGCAAAGGTTTTGCTTTTCAACAATATCAAATCATTGAATTGGGTTCATTTTCAAAAAAGGAATCACAATTATACAACGGATGAGATGAATTTTTCACAACTTCCAGAAAATATCTTTTGAATTTGAAAAGAAATATTTTACCTTGTTCTGCAAATGAGGAGATTTTGTTTTGAAATTATGACACACAGCTTTTCTCAAATTTTCCAGAATCTAACATCTCTCTTGAAGACGCGAAATATATTTATTCCAAGTTGATAAATCTAAGAAGGTTAATTATTTCATTTTCCTTATTAGTCACTTTATCCAATTTTTGCAAAACAATATTTATGTACAAGTTTTGACTAAAATTATTCATTTCATTCTTCATTACTTTTAAAGCTCTAATTTAATTTAGCGAACATAATCCACAATTCTTAGCTTACATTATCTAAAACATAATACATAATTTGTGTGGCTATTTACAATTAACTTTTATTTTCATATCGGGTTTTAAGGAATCAAATAAAGAATCAAACGTATTATCTACAATTTAAGTTTTCTTAATATTTCCAACAAGAACTGATTGTAAATAGAACAGTTTCTGGTTATCACATAGGAATTAATTAGAAGTAATTTTATTATTGAATTGAGTTTTAAAATTTCTCCAGTTTTCATAATTACTATGAAATATAGGTAAAATTATTTCTGAAAGTTTAAGATTTAACTTCTGATTCGATTCCGAATCTACAGTGTTAACATGAGCCAGTTGAAATCTTCGAATTTGCTCAAATTCCAAAACGTGTTTAATTCTTACCTTTTGATTTTGAAGCTCGTGATCAGTTTTGTCAATTTTTTCAATTTCATGTTTTAATACTTCGTAGTACTGAATTCTTAACTCGTGGAGTATATCTTCCAGAATATTTAGATTTCCAATTTTATTACTCGCCCCGAGTTTATCAATTTTCTCAACATCTTCAGAACTAAATTTCGGAAGCTTGGTTAACCGGGCTTTTATATTTCCCAGACATCTATTTAAAGCCGATACATCCATAAGCAGCTAGGAGTTACCCCGGCTCGACAGACCACACACATTTCTTGATGAATGGAGCGAAAATGAATTGAAGTTCGAAATCCTTCAATGACTGTGGTTTTCACAAGGTGCAAACAAAAATTTACTTATTTAATTCTACCACGTAATATTATTTCACTCTATTAAACAGTTCTTAAATCTAGTACACCATTCAAAAGCATTCAAAGGAACCACTTTATATGGCACCCAGCTTCAATGCAGATTAAAAGGTTCACAAAAAAATTAAAAAATCTCTAATGGAAAAGAATCGTGATTACATCTTTCATGTTTTAAAAATGCCGTATACTTCAAAGTCTTAATGTAACTGCTAAGAAAGAAATACGGAACATCGTAAGTTTAAAAATGCATGTGTATAATATGCACACAGCGGGGAAAAAGAGAAAAAAAAACAGTTCTATAATTCCTGTTCTACTGGTCCGATTGACAAAACTAAAATTGCGTTTTTCATGTCTCAAAAGCGCGACTTAGGATGTGTAGATTTATATATAGCATTGTTCTAATATAGGTTTTTCACACAAAATCGGATCTTTTTCTGAAATGACATACCCATTTTTTTCCATATTTCAATTCTACGACTCAAATTATGCCTAACTCCTAAGTTTTGTAAAAATTTCCCGAGTAGTTTTTAAAAATTAGCTCTCAAAATTTTAGCTCGTCAATGTTAATTATATTTGGTATATATTTGTATATATTCTGTATTATATCTCTTTAATTATTAAACTTCCTTGTCTTTTATTATTATACTTTATTATTAAACTTATTTTATTCTTCCTTTCACATTTCGAAATTTAGGTTCATTCCAAATAAAATTCGCCCATTTTTTATGATTTATTTTTAAACTTGTATTTTCAAATAATTTTGATAAATTTTTCGAAAAATATTTTGAATTATAATCTATAACATTTTTACCATCATCTTAAAGTAGATGTATTTATAAGCACAACTGCAAAAATTTAGAGTTTTTTTTTATTTTAAATTTTCAAAGATATACGTGAATTTTAACGCTAAATGTGGTTTACGTACTTTGTTAAAATTATTTGAAAGTTATGAACAATGACTTTATTTCCGCAATGAAAACAAAAGGAAAGGAAAATAGGTTGCTATAAAATTAAGTAGTTCGCCAAGTGAATTACTCTTGGCGCAACTGAAAAAACTGCACCTGAATTTACAAAATTTAGTATTTAGGCATAATTGGAGTCATAGTTTTGAAATATGGAAAAACATTGGCATGTCATTTCGGAAAAATTTCGATTTTGTGTCAAAATACCTATATTAGAACAGTGCTAAGTGTAAATCTAATGTGTATCTTAAGTCGCGCTTCCGAGACATGAAAAACACAATTTGAATTTAGTCAATCGGCCCAGTAGAACGGAAGATATAGAACTGCCCCATTTTTTTTTTCGCAGTGTACGTAAATGTATATAGACATTTATGTACACATGTCTGTTCAAATACACTTACATGTATATAGGCAGAATACATTTATACAGATAGGCATTACATGTATATAGGCATTTGCGTATATTCTTGAGCAGCTTAAGAAAATGTATATACTTGTCTCTTTGAGCTTTGAGTATAAACATGTCTCCCTGTCTTAAATGTATTTACTTTTCCTCCTTGAGCAGCTTAAGAAAATCTGGTAAATGATAATTTAAATGCTACGTATCCTTTTAATGTCTGTCTGAGTAATGACTATAAATATAAAATTTGAATGTCAATTTAAATGAACGAGTTTAAAAAATTTTATCTGTTGTTTCTATGATATAAAATATAAATGACATCATTTCTACAATTTAAAGCATTGTTTCTATTTATAAACTCTTTGCAAGGTTATTTCTACTTATAAACTTTTTATTAATAGAATAATGCCTTTCTGTTTGTAAAGTCATTATTCTATTCATAAAAGCTTTATTTCTGCAAACGAATT